CCCCACTCCCCCGCCAACCCACCCCCCAACCAACACCCCTCCTTCGTCACTACCACAACTTCCATCACATACCCCGTGCGCTGTCGTTCTTTCCTCGGTGGCATGGCCTAACCGCCAGCCACGCCCATTGACGACGACGGTGATGACGACTCGGTTTTGTTCGGCACCGATCTCTCCTCGCCATGCTCGCTTCGCTTCGCGCCGCGCCGCGCTCCTCGCCATCACCGCTCCGTTCCTCACCTGCACAAAAAACACGAAAACACAGAAGCTACTATGCCTATGCGACTTTGCTTTATATACTTGCCTCTCTTTGACACAGCTCACGACGGCCGCATGGGGAGCGGCGGCGGTGGCGTCATCGCCACATCGGACATCTTGCCAGAGCCGGTCGACAGGACCGTAGTTGCAAAGACCGGATTGGTCGGCTCGACCGACGCGACAGGGCCTGTCGGCGTTGCCGGCTCGACCACCGTCATCGACAGACTGTCGAGCGAGTTCATGCCAAGCGAGGCAAAATTGATCTCGGCGCCGCCGCCGGGCATCTTGTCCACCGAGGGATCATACACCAGGTTCTTGACGACCACGCACTCGTCGCCGGCACTGGTGTCGACCGAGTCGAACGTCGTCATCACCAGCTCGTTGGCCTCGGCGCCCATCTCAAACTCGACGCCGACGTCCTTCTCGTGCCACGCCACGAGCACAAAGTCCACAATGTTGCCCACCACAATGGCGAGGATGTTGACACCGATGGCGGTGATCGCCGCCACATGCCGCGCCTCGCTCTCGCCAAACGTGCCGGCCCACAGAATGCACACGCACGAGGCAAGACACACAACCGCCAGCCAGTTGTGGAACGGCGCCGCATACGGCTCAAACCGCACAAGCTGTGCAAACGACGCCATCAGCGCCATCAGTGCCGCGTTGGCCTTGGTCTCGGCTGCACGGAAGAACGTCATCGCTATCACCACACTCACCTTGCGGATCATGATCCACACTTCAAACCGGTAGTTCTTCTCCTTGAACCGCCCCACCAAAAACGCGTACCGCAGCGCAAACATCATGTCGTCGTTCTTCTTTCGCAACCGCGTCAGCAGCCAAAACACAACGCCTGGAATGCCGAGACAGTACGCCGCGCAGAAGAACACCGCAGCCCAAAAGTAGTTCCAGTACCACACCCCGTAGCAGCTCTTGGCTGGCGCAGCCTCTAGGACCCAACGCCCGTCCTTGTCGCGCCGGCACTGCATGTAGCTCATCGCCATCGCCGCAAGCGGAAGGTACAACAGCACCATCAACTGCAGGTACGACCGCCGGCACGCGTCCAGCAGCATCGCCATCGTCATCTCCACCGTGCGCCCCAGCTTTGGCGCAATCACGCTCTGGTACACCCGCGTGCACGTGATCACAATCGCAAACGGGAGGCAGAACAGCAGCGGAAGGCTCACCGTCAACCACCACTTGAGCAGCCACACGTCGTCCGTCACCGTCGCGCACTCGGGCGAGCTCAGGTCAAAGTTAAGGTTGAAGAACGAGACTACGTTGAAGAACTGCGCCGCAAAGTCCGGCCATTCCAGCTCCATCTTGCCGTACATGGCGCTAATCTGCAGCGAGTTGAACCCAATCATCACCGCCGCAAACCGGTAGCTCAGCTCCTCACGCGCGTTGAGCCACACCAGGAAGCCCACAAAGCACACCGCGAGTACAAACACGAGGAACAGCAGCGGAATCGTTCGGTTGTCGCACTTGTAGCACGCGCCGCCGAGCACATAGTACCCGCGTGCGCATGCTCCGCACAGCTGCCCAGTGTAGCCCTCGGCGCACGCAAAGGGATACCCGCCGCGGCACGCGCCAGCGTTCGGGCACTCGAGGAACACGCCTGGATCCTCGGTCGGAAAGTAGCCCGGGAGCGAGACCGGCGGGGCCAGGCCGCCCGCGCACCGGCCGCCCAGAGGGCATTCGTCGCACGCCACATTCAGTCGCCCGCTCTGCGTCCACGTTCCCGGAATGCACGTGCAGTTGATGCCCGAGCCCGGAACAGGCACAAACCCGGGCACAATCTGTGTGTTGGCGGGGCAAAAGAGGCACTCGGTCGCACCCACGCCTGTCAGCACCGTGCTCGAAGGGCACACTGTGCATCCCGCGAGGGATGTCTCGTTCGAGTACGTGCCTTCGGCACAGAGGGCGCACTCGAGCACTCCCGAGCCAACCTTGGGCAGCACGCCTGCGCCCGGCAGGCACGCCTGGACCTCAAGTGACGCTGCGATCACCGTCCCTGGCGCAGTCGTCGCGTCCATCGCAGACTTGGCCACCGTGACCTGCACCTCCACGCTCTCGCCCACGCTGGTTCCCTCGCGGACCGCCACGCCCACGCTCTCAAACGAGATGGTGGCCTCGCCTGCAAGCTGCTGACGGCCCGCTCCCACAAACGCATACCGCGTCTCGGTCGCTGCCGACGGAAAGCTGAACTCGATCGCAACTTGCGCGTCGCTCACAGCCTGGCCCAGCCCGTCGCGAATGGACACAACCGCTCGCCCGCTGCCAAACGGCGTTCCCGACGAGACCGTCGCCGGCGGCTCGGCCTCCCACCCCAGCGACGTCACTGGCATCGCCACAAGAGCACCGTACCCGACAGAGCCTGCCACCAGCCCGAGCGAGTCGTTGAACGCACTCATGCTGGCATCATCCACGCTCAGCCACGGCGCGCCAAGGAGTTCGCTTCTCGAGCTGTCCAGGCAGCACGGATCAACGCCGCTAGAGCACAGCCCCATCGCCGGCGCGCAGGTAAACAGCAGACCCGACGACGCCTCTGTCCCCGCGTACCGCGCAGCAGCGTCAAACGAATACGTTGACACGTCTGTAAGAATCACCGGTGATCCACAGGCAAAGCCCACAGACCCGTACACGCCCGCGTTGCCCACAATCTCGGCGCCGGTCACGGTCACTCCGCCGCGCCCACTGCACGTCGTCGGCCCGTCGCGGGTCTCGGCCGGCAGCGACGACGACGCCGACTCGGACCCGCTCGTCCCGCCCGACATGTACCCGGCTGCCCGCGCCGCCGCCACGCCGCCGCCAAACGCCGCCGTGTTGGCCCGCACGCTGCCGCCGAGCACGCTCCCACTCGCTCCGCCGAGCACAGCCACGCCGCCGCCAAGCCGCCGCGCAAAGTTGTCCGCCACCACCGCACCGTTGAGCGTCACGTGCGACGTCCGACCCGAGACCGCGATCGCCCCGCCGTGGATGTCGGCAGAGTTGTCCACCAGCCTCGCACCGGGAGCACTCGTCACGCTGCACGACGCATCGGCCTCTGCCAGCGTAGACAGGCTGAGCGAAATCGCTCCGCCAGACCCGGCCGCCGCGTTGCCCGACAGCACCGCGGCCGGGCCGAGCACCACATCGACAACACCCGATTCGAGCGTAAAGCCGCGGATGCCGCCGCCGTCGCCGCTACTCGCTCCGTTGCCCGACAGCACCGTGTCGTCAAGGTCAAACACCACGCGCGCATCGTCAGACGCACGGAGAAAGACTCCGCCGCCGACCTCGGCCGCCGCGTTGTGCGCAATCAAGCTAGCTCGCACACTCACGCTCAGAACGCTCTGCAGAACAATGAACACCAGCCCGCCGCCGCGCTCCTCGGCCGCAGACGTAAACTCAGAGCCGATCGCCGAGTTACTCTCAATCCGCGAGTTGACAATCGAAACGCTCGACGGCCCGGTTCCGGCCTCCACAAACAGGCACCCACCCGAGATGATCGCCTCGTTGTGCTCGCAGACCACGTTGTCAAAGACAACCTCGATTGCGCTGCCCACAAGTGCTACCGCCCCGCCCGAGTGACCCGCGCTGTTGTGCGAAAAGACCACAGAGGTGGCGTGGAGCGACGCCGCGCCACGAAGCAGGATCGCCCCCCCAAAGCCAATGACCGGCGACGAGACCGAGAGCTGGTTCGCCGTCAACGCTGTAGAGTTGGTGATGGTGACGTTGCGGAGGACAAGCGAGCCGCCCTCGACGTCGATGGCCGCGCCACCAAACCGCGTCGAGGACGTCTTAGCGTTGCGGATCTCCACATTCTCCAACGTCAGCTGGACGCCCACGTCGGCAACGCGGAAGAGCATGCCCGAGTGTCGACAGTCAAACACAGCACCGGCGTCCTCGCCAAGCAGCCGCAGCGACCGCCCGATGAGGTACGGCTCCTCGGTCGGGCACCCGCTGTAGGTTCCGGTCGGGAGCACAACTGTGTCAAACAGGCACTTGCCGGTCCGCAGTGCAATGGTCTCGGTCACGCATGCGAGCGAGAAGCCGCATTTGTCGGTCTCGACCCGGAACGTCGCAGGCGCCCGCGTCGCTCGCCACGTCGACTGCATCCCGGTGTACACCAGGTTGTACGATGGCGAAATGCCAGACGCCACCATGTCGGGGAATCCGTCCGCATCGATGTCGGCCACGTGCACATCGCGGATATTGCGAAGGGAGGAAACGGCTTGAAAGTGCCACGGCATGTTGCTCGAGAGCCGCGACGGTCCGAGCATGCTCGACGAGTCGTTGAACACCCCGATGCTCGCGACAGGCGACTGGTTGAGCACAATCGTGACCCGCGAGTACGTCAACGACGACATGTACATCAGATCGTCCCATCCGTCCATATCAACATCTGCGACGATGAGGTTGTTCCCAGGCGTGAGCGGGTATGTCATCGATGAGCGGGTCGAGTAGCCCGGCGAGTCGGCCCGCCCCCAGTTGACCTCGAGCGGCACCACCCGCGGCGGGCCAAAGCTCGGCAGGCCGGCGCCAAACGGCACCATGTTCATCGCGTAGAGCAATCCCTCGCCCTCCGTACCGGTCGTGTACGCCAAGTCAAGTGCCCCATCCCGGTTGAGGTCAACGAGCTGGATGGCGGTGAGGCTCGGTGGGGAGGCTAGCACAACAGCGCTCGCCATCGCCCACGGCAAACCGCCGATCGAAGGAACAAGCAACACCCTGTTCGAGCACGAGACCACAAAATCAAGGAGCCTGTCACCGGTCATGTCAACGCTCAACACCCGCCGGTCTGGCGACGAGCACAGAGTCGAGAGGTCGGCCAGGACGCTGCCGGCGTCAAAGCCGGTCGCCGACGCCGCGTCGCCGAGGAAGAGCATCAGCTTGCGAGTGTAGAGCGGTAACGTCACGATGTCTGGCAGCAAGTCATCGTTGAGGAGCACAACAGCGAGGTTGTCTGGCCCGTTGAGCGCAGAGTTTGTCGTCGTGATGTTGCCGACCATGACGAGACCGTCGAGCTCAAAGTACGGTGGCTCGCCGGTGTTGGGCATCCACGCAACGAAATCGCCCACCTTCGAGGTCACCACAAGGTCCGGCAAGCCGTCAAGGGTGATGTCAGCAGCAACCACTGACGAGATGACCACACCGAGCGCGGACATGTCAATCGCGGTCGCGTCAGCGATCTCAAAGGCGGGCGCGTCAAGGAAGAGGTACAGCATGCTAGAACTCGTTCCTGTGGTGGCAAACGCCACAATGTCTGCCACCGAGTCAGAGTTGATGTCAACAATCGTCGAGCCGCCAAATCCGTTCGGCGACGACGACATCACAACGTCGACAGCCTTGGTAGCTTCCCGGAAGCCAAGGTTGTACATGATGTGGAAGCCCGAGGTCGAGCCGTAGATGACATCGGCAAAAGTGTCCCCATCGTAGTCGGTGACAACAAACCGATAACCGGTTGTGTCAATGGCTGTCGGGTGGAAGGTGGTGAACGAGGTGTTGGCTACTGCCGACGCTTGCCTCGGCGTCACGCCAAAGAACGGATAGTGGTTCCGTACGTTGTCGTTGATCAAGATGTCAGGCATGGTGTCTTCGGCTGGATTGAGCTGGGTAAACTCAAAGTAAGCCGCGGGATGGGGCCCGTCGATGACAGCGAGCGAAAGTCGGGTTGCGCTTGCTGCAAAGTCGCTCCAAACGCTGCTGGCAGCATGGAAAAGGACGAGCTCCGGCCCAGTGTTGGCAACAAGGTCCATCAGTCCGTCGCCATCGACATCGCGGAAGACAATGTGGCGGATCTCGGAGAGTTCGCCGGCAAGCCGGGTACTGATCACCCCACTTTCCGGAGCCAACCAGTCAGGGACAGCATACCACCACACCTCGCCAAACACGCCCGGGCCGTCCCAGGCGACGACAATGTCGCGCCCGTTGCCGAGATCGACAATCTCGAGCGCATAGCCGATGGTGCCCGAGACCGGCGCGTTGGCAATCGTCGCGATGCTGTTGACCGACTCAAAGTCGAGCGGAGCGCCGGGGAGCGCGCCCGAGTCGGCGTGCTGGTTGCGAATGATCCGAAGCTGGGAAGGCGCGTTCGAGAACTCCTCAACAAACACAACGTCGCGGTCGCCATCGCCATCAACGTCAAGAACCTGAATGCGGTGGACGTCGCTCGAGGTGGTGGTTAGCGCCGTCGTCGACGGATACGACGGAAGTGGCGAGCCAGGGATGGACGAGCCCGGCCCGCCGGTAACAAACGAGGCCATGGCTGTCGTGTTGTAGTGGACAAGCTGGACCACAAAGTCGACGACGCCGTCGCCGTTAGTGTCGCCGATCGCGGCCTGGTAGTCGATGTCGGCGAGGTCTGTCAGAAACGCTGCAGGGCGGTCAAGCTGGAAGATCGTCGAGAACGCGGCCAAGTTCTCGTAGTAGACAAGCGCGTTCTCGGTTGCCGACGACATGATGAGAAGATCAAGCCGGCCGTCGCCGGTCAGGTCTTCCAGCGCAACGTAGTTCTCACTAGTGAGGCCAGTGGGGCTGTCCTCAAACAAAGTGCCAGTAAAGACACCAGAGCCAGCGTCAAACAGCGAACAAAAGACAACGTTGAGCGTACAGCCACAAATGTCCAGGTCGCTGTCACCGTCAATGTCACCGAGCGCCACGTGCCGCGGGTACGAGATCGAGACCGCAGTCGTGGTGGTAAACGTCGAGTCGCCGTTGTTGCGAACATAGAGGACCGAATCGCTCGACAGCGTGACAACAGCAATGTCGAGAAAGGTGTCGAGGTTGACGTCGCCGACGGCAAACCGGCCCATGTAGTTAGTCGAGCTCGCGAGGGTGACGATGGTGCCCGTCGGCGCAAAGTTGGCGGCCGGCGACGCTGCGGCGTTCGGGTAGACCGCGACAATGTCTGACGAGGACGACGAGAACAGGATGTCCAAGTCACCATCGTTGTCGTAGTCAAAGAACCGGATTTCGTAGATGCTCGAGCGCCTGAGCGTCGACGATGTGGTGACCAGGACGGCGGGCGAGGCCGCTGAGAACACGCCTGGGCCGGACGCATGGTGGACGTACACGTCGCGATTGCTGGTAATATACACAACGTCAGGCCAGGCGTCGCCGTTGACCAGTGCCACGTCCATGTGCTGGACGAAGTACGTCGACACTGGCTCATACACGATCGGCGAGGCCGGGATGGAGAACGCCCCGTTCCCATCGTTCTCGCGCCACACAAGAGAAACGCCGTTGTCAAAGAGCGCAAACATGAGGTCGGCATCGCCGTCACCATCGACGTCTTTCAGCACATGCTCGCGGCTCGAGAAGATCGGCGAGCTGGGGTAGTCTGGCAACGGCACATCGCCGACGTAGACCGGGTATGGTCTGTCTGCCACACCGCGCACTGCATCGAGCCCATACGACCCACCGATGACAAGGTCCGGAATGTTGTCACCGTTGAGGTCGCCGGCGTAACCGTCGTGGACATAGAACGATGGGTAGCTTGTCGTGGCGTGCGAAACAAAGTACGGCGCGGCCCAAACGTCGGGCATCATGCCAACCGGGCCCATGGCTGCACCGGGACAGCCCGGGTACGGCATGAGGCTCGAGCCCGGAGGCTGCGTCGCCGGCAGCATGTCCCGCACAAATGCAGCTGACGAGGGAAGGACAGTCATACCGTATCGATCAAAGGCAATAGCATCATGCCGTCCGTCGCAGTCGTAGTCGACGTCAACCTTGGTCGAGAGCACGTCGGTGGTGTAGACGCCAGATCCCCACAGATCCCGCCCTGTCAATCCATATGTGCTGGCCGATGTGGTCGGAGGCTGTGTGGAGGGGTGAGTGGCAGAAGGGTAGGCAGGTATGGCATTGAGGGGTTGGGGGGGGGGGGGGAGGGGGGGAGGGGAGGGGGGAATGCGGCAAAAATACAAAACGAACCGACGTGCAAAGCTGACCGGTCACTCGTGGCGAGGCCAAGGTGCAGAGCAAGGCGAGAGCCACGACCACTGAGGGGGAAAACATGGTGGTAGGGAGAAGATTTGGTTGGGGTGGATGTGGTGGGAGGGACGCAAGAAAGGAGGGTGGAGGTGGGGTGGGGGTGGGAGGGGGGTGGGAGGGGGGGAGTGCGGGGTTGCAGGGGCCGGTGCGGGGAGCGGCCAACTTGAACGCGCGCGTGCAGAGACGTGCATGAGCGGCAAGTGCAGCAGACAAAATATACTCCCAGCACCAAAAATATGCAAGCCATGAAAATCGACTCTCACTGGTACGGGGAAAAGCGCATGGGGTCAAAGGCAGCGGGGATGGCGACGCCGGCCATCCACGGTGGGAGGGTTGCAGGATCGAGGTTGAGGCGGGCACATGCCCACTTGCCGGCGCAGTAGCCGGCGCGGAGTGCTTTGGTCATGCCATTGCCCGAGTAGCCGCCGACGAGGAAGACGGGCGAGTCTGCTGCGAGGCCATCGGCGACGTAGGTGGAGCCGGGCGCGGTGACCGGGCCGATGAGCGGGAGGTTGTCAGCGGTGTAGGCGAGGCGGCCGGACCAGATGCGCGTCGGTGGGGGGAGCGGCTCGTCAGGCGCACATAGCTCGCCGACGAGCGAGGCGAGCTCGTCGCCGACGGCGATTGCATCCGGGTCCGAGTCGGAACCGCCAGCCGGGAGCTGGACCGACGAGCCGAAAACGATCGAATCGTAGGCCTGCCGGCCATAGACTTCGTCCGGGAGAGAGATGAGGAATGGGTCCGGCGAGCCGAGCGCGTCGCGCATGGCGGCCATGGCGGCGGGCGCGCTTGGAACAGGATACGCCGCGACCAGCTCGCGCGGCGTCGTCCACACCAGCTCGCCACACTCTGCCAGCCACGGCGGGAACAAGTCGGGGACCAGATGGTAGCCATTGACGGCAAGCACAACCGTGGTCGCGATCACGGCCGAGCCGTCGGCCAGGACGACTCGGACGCAGCCGGCGGGCGCGGCCTCGAGCCGGAGAGCCGTTGTCTCCTCGGCGATGGCAAAGACCGAGCCACGGGCCTCAGCCGCTGCCGCTGCCGCGTCGGCCACCGCAAAGCAGAACGCGACCGGGTCGATGGTCCCGCACTCGGGCTCGGCCACCACACCGCCGGCGTTGCCAAAGTGTGATGCGGCCGAGTGGGAGAGGGAGTCCATGGCCATCGGCTTGTTGTTCGCGCCTAGCGCTGCCGAGTTCAGCGAGGAGGTGTGGAGCGCTTGTAGGACAGGGACTATGGCAGTCTCCATGTCGGACCAGCACAGCGGATCTGGAATGATCTCGACGCCTAGCCCGCCACCGAGCTCGAGGCCGATCGCCTCAGCGCCGACGGTGCGAGCGGCAAAGTCGGCAATGTCGCGGAGACATGCATAATCAAAGTCAAAGGCAGCAACCAAGTTGTCTGGCAGCTCGTCAGGCGACACGATGTCGTGCGGGACCCGGAACGAGGGCCAGAGCTGGCCGCCATTCCGGCCGGACGCGCCGCTGGCCACCCGACCGGCTTCGACGACGACGACTGAGCTCGCGCCGCCACTCAGTGCAGCGTACGCTGTGGCCATGCCAGTCACCCCGCCGCCAACTACCACCACCTCGGCAGATGCAGGCAGTGCATGTGTGACATGCGGGCTTGTGTCCCGTCCAGATTTCGTCCACCAGAGCGAGGGCGGGTCCATGCAGTTTGGCAAGCGTGGCAAGCGAGGAGTGGCATGGGGAGAGGGAGGCGCTTGTCTGATCACGCTTGATCACGTGTCGTAGGACGCAAGCGTGTGCGGCTTTTTACCGAAGGGTGGAGAAGAAGGACGACGGTGCGGACATCGGTACGGAGAATGAGTACGGCGAGAAAGAGGCGAGATGAGGGCAATGTATCCGAAGAGGAAAACGCTTAAACAAGATGGTGCTGTACACGTGAGTGTGTCGTGCCTGTGCGCCGCTCGAGCAGTCACCCACATCATCACACGCACTCACACACGCCATCCCCTTGATCCTCGCCATCCTGTTTCACCCTTGGGCAATCTGCCTCATCCACCAACACACGCACACGCACACACACACACACACACACACACACACACACACACACACACAGAAACACACACGTACTGTGTCGAGCAGCACGATCATCATGTTCGCCAGCCGCCAGCCGCCAGCCGCCAGCCGCCGCATTGTGCCCGAGGGCGCCGACCGGCATCCCCCCGACAGCTGAATGCGGAGAAGGCGAGGCACAACCCCGACCACGACCACGACCACGACCACGACCACGACCACCACGACCACGACCACGACGACGACCACGACTCTCGCACCGCCCTCCCTCGCGCAACTACGAGACCCCTCTCCCTCTCTACCACCTGTTCGCGAGTGTGCTCCATAGGCATACTCTCTGCGTAGAGCGAGCGGCATAGCCTTCAGTCCCCCCTTCTCCCCCCCCCCCCCCTCTTCCCCCTCTTCCCCCCTCCCAACAATGGAGGTTAACCAGGGAGCAGGAGCAGGAGCAGGAGCAGGAGACGGAGCAGGAGACAGAGCGAGTATGAAGACAGCGGAGATGGCGGTGAATGGTGCAAGTGCAACAGCAGCAAGTGGGTCAAAGCCAGCAACGCCTCCGGCGGCTCCAGGCTCCTCGGCACCTCTGCCGATAGCAACAGGTGGGCAGGTCGGGACACCGACAGAGCCTGCTCTGCCTCCACTGCGAACGGCTACCGCTCCCGCTGCAACTGGCTCAGTCGCTGCTGGTGGTGGGCCGGGCGCTTCGCCGGCGACTGGTGCGGTGCCGGTGCTGGCTGAGGCTGAAGTACAGGGTGCGGCTGCCGGTGCCGAGGCTGGCGGCGGCGAGGCTAGCGGCGGTGCTGCGGCGACGGCGAGGGCAGCGGCGGCGGCGGCGAGTGGGGTGACTGCTGCAGCGTCTGCGATAGAGTCTGCAGCGGGTGGCGGCGAGGCGAAAGGCGAGGGCGAGGGCGGCGGTGGCTTGGTGGGCTCGGACGACTCGTCAGGTCCGTCGACGCCGACGGGCGGCGTCCACTCGGGGGCTGTGGACGAGGACGACGGCGACGAGTCGCAGCCGTGGTACGCAGTCCTGCGCGCGGCACTGGAGGCCAAGGCGTCTGCTCTCTCGCTGGGTGGGCACGAGCTGACGCTGTACCCCGAGGATGCGTGCCATCTGGCCAAGACGCTCACGGCGCTGTACTTGCACCATAACCGGCTGCAGACGCTCTCGCCGTCGGTGGCGGTCCTCTCGCGGCTGCGGGTGCTCAACCTGGCGAACAACAAGCTGACCGACTTGCCCAAGGCGGTCTCGTCGCTGACCGGCCTTGTCGAGCTCAACCTCTCGCACAACGAGTTTACCGCCTTTCCGTCGGCGCTCCCGGACTCGCTGCAGATTCTATACCTCAACCGCAACCACCTCGACCAGGTGAGTGATGCGCTGTCGGACCTGACATCGCTCCGGATTCTCAACCTCTCACATAACGTGCTGCTCGAGGTGCCGGCGAATGCGCTCGAGGGCCTCGGGGCGCTGGAGGACTTTTACGCGGAGCACAACCAGCTGGTGACCCTCCCACCGTCTGTTGGCTTGCTCAGCTCGTTGGCGACGCTCTGGGTGCCAAACAACAACATCCAGGAGTTGCCGCGCGAGATCGGGGAGCTCAGCTCGCTGACGATGTGCAACGTGGCGAACAACCGGCTGCAAGAGCTGCCGCGGACGCTGGGGCTCTGCAGCGCGCTGCGGGTCCTCAACGTCTCGCACAACGACCTGGAGAGCTTGCCGGCAGCGCTCGGCCGATGCCTGCACCTCCGCACGCTGTCTGTGCGCGGGAACAAGCTCTCCGAGCTCCCGCAGGAGCTCGCTTCCAAGTCGACGTACGGCGTGCTCAACTTTCTGTACGGGTGGAAGCCCTCAGTCCACTTTCGGTTTCCAGTCGCGACCCGCGAGGCGCTTGTTGCGTTTTTCATTGTCGCTCAGATCCGTGCCGACGAGAGCGGCCTGCCGTTGTTGCCGCAGCGTGCGCTCGACCGCATCGCGTACTACGTCGCTGGCAACGGCGAGAAGCACCATCACGAGGAGGCTGCGGCCGACGAGGCTGAAGCCGGCGACGGCGCCGGTGCGTCTGGCCCGGCAGCGGCAGCGGCAGCGGCAGCCGCCGCCGCGACGCAAGAGGTCGGCGCAGCAGCAGCGCCTGCGGCAGCGAGCGAGCCCGAGGCCCGAGCAAGTTCAAAGGCAGGCGAGGCCGGCGACGGGGCTGCGGCTGAGGCCGAGGCCGGAGCAGGCGCAAAAGCAGGCGGCACCGAAGGCGGCGACGGCGGCGACGGCGGCGAGAGCGCGGCAGCGTGAGGACGGCTAGGCCGGAGCCGAGTCGTACTTGCCACGGCGGATGTCGAGGAGCCAGGCCATGACGACGTCCTCGTCAGCGCGCGCCGGGAGACCCCACGGCTCTGCGGCGAGGATGGCGGCAATGCGCGTGTCAGCTTCGGCGAGGATGTCGTCGGCTGACTCGTTGCCGGCGCGGATGCTCATGAGACGGTCGCGCTCGAGGCCGGTGATGCGAATGGCCGGGGCAGAGCCGGCGCAGATACGCTCGACCTCGCCGAGGAGGCGGATGACGTGGTACAGCTTTTTCGTCGACTTGCCCTTGTTGGCGTTAAACTGCTTGATCTGCGAGTTGACAAAGCCGAGGTAGTGATGGACGACCTTTTGCGAGAGAAAGGCCTCGCGATGGCGCTGCAGCGCCTCCCACGCTTCGCTCCGGTAGCCGTCGCCGTCATAGAAGAGCGCCTCGATGATGCCTGGGTTGCCCTTGAGAAGCAAGCGGCCGAACTTGAGAGCCTCGTGCAGGACATAGTCGTCGCCGCCGTCGACCGATGCCGTCAGCGTCTCGGGCACCGACGAGTACAGATCAAGGTGGAGCGCAAGCGGCCTCGCAGCGTACACTCCGACGTAGTCTTTGTCGGACAGGTCCTTGTTGAGACCAAACGCCACCGAGCCGCCGATGTAAGCCATCAGGAGCTGAGGGGCTTTGCCCTGATGTCAACCCGCGGCAGCCATAGTCATATATCGCCCATCGCCAGCCACAGCCGTACCCGCATTGCCCATCGTCAGCCATCCAACATCAGCCGCATTTGCATCGCCATCGAGTGAGTCCGGCCGAAGACCTCTGTGTTTCCCTCCGTGTCCCCGTCCGTGTCCCCGTCCGTGTCCGTGTCCCCCCCCCCCCCCCCCCCCCCCCTCCTCACCGTAGCCGTACCACTCCGTCAGCCTTGCTCAGCTTGGTTGTGAGGAACTCCCTAGCGTCGTCAGCCAGACTCTGATCCATGCTGAGAGCAAGAGTGATGTGTGTGTGTGTGTGTGTGTGTGTGTATGTGTGTGTGTGTGTGTGTGTGTGTGTGTGTGTGTCTCTGTGCGTGTGTGTGTGCATGTGGCTGGAAGAATACACTGTCGCTTGCCTGTGGGAGTGGCTCTCTTCTTCCGCCTGTCACTGTGGTGGCTGGGCATGCTTCTTCCATGGCTTCGATTGCGGCCAGTCCACATCACATCACCTCCCACCAGTACCAAATCCATCCGATGACACACACATGCGTATGATCAGACTCATATGCATCTGATGAGGGCCTTTTTGTGTCACATGCACGGTATACTTGCAAACATCGTTGCTTCTTCTAATGCGCCATCCTCACCGCCTGCCACCGCCTACCGCCAGCCGCCTGCCGCCTGCCGCCTGCCACCAGCCTCCCATCGCCCATCGCCCATCGCCTGCCGCCCATCGCCTCACCTGCCGCCCATCGCCAGCCGCCCATCGCCTCAACCTGCCGCTTGCATCCTGCCGCCCATCGCCCATCACCAGCCGCCCATAACCAGCCACCTGCCGCGAGCCGCGAGCCGCCTGCGGCACGATCCCTCCACTGTCCCCAGCGCCTCCTCCGCGCCTCCCCTCCCCCCCCCCCCCCCCCCACCCCTGACTCCCACTCACGGCCACGGCCACCAGCCACCCCTCCACCATGGCGTCCCTCATCCTGTCCCCCCTCCTCTCCCTCTCCTCCACCCCCATCCCTGCCCCTCTCCTCTCTAGCTCTCTCCAGCTGTGGCGGGTGCTCAACTCGGCTCCGGCTGGCACACCCGCCCGCAAAGCCATACTCTCGTCATCGCTACCTCGCTCATGGTCACTTCCACCATCGCCATCGCTATCGCCATCGCCATCGCCATCGCCATCGCCATCGCTCGCTCATCATGCCGCTTGTGACTCTGTCGCTCCTGCCGCTGCTCCTGCCTCTGCTGCGGACTTTGTTCTCGCTTGCCAGCGCTTGCGACACGGCAAGGCGTGGATGCCACTCGAGGTGCTTGCAGACGACATTGTGCTTGCGGATGGCGGCACTGCCGCCGCCAAAGAGCCATCGGCGCTGACGCTGGTGTGGCGGATGGTTGCGCCGGACAAGTGGCTGCTGGCAGCGGCGGTGGTGGCCACGGTCTCGTCGTCGCTCGTCTCGCTCCTCATTCCGCCGTCGGTGGGAGGCCTGCTGGCGAGTCTCAAGGCTGGCGCATCGTTTTCGACGTTGTGGGGCGGAGTGGCCAAGCTTGCTGGCGTCGTTGTCTTTCAAGCCTCGCTCTCGGCGGGCTACATCGCCTTGCTCTCGTCGTTCTCGCAGCGGCTGGTGCAGCGGCTGCGAACCGCGCTGTTTGATGCACTCATGGCCAAGGACATGGGCGCGTACGATGCCACCCGTGGTGGAGAGTTCTCGGCTCTGCTCTCAGCCGACGTCGAAGCCGTCCGGGCTGCCGTCAAGCACTGCGTCTCGATCGGCGTCCGCGCGGTTGTCGTTCTTGTTGGTGGCTGCGTCTCGCTGGCGCTCATCTCACCGCAGATGACCGGCATTCTCTTCTGCGCGCTTCCAGTCTCAGTCTGGGCCGGCTCGATCTTTGCCCGCCACCTCCGCGGCATCTCGGGCGCGGCTGCGGCGCGGACGGCCTCATCGCTCGCGCTGGCTGACGAGTACATGGCCAACATCCGGACAGTCCGCGCATTCGGTGCCGAGGCCGCCGCCCTCGAGCTCTTTGCGTCCGACACCCGCGAGGCCACGGGCCTTGCGGCCTCGCTTGGCCGTCGCATCGGTATCTTCCACGGCTTTACCTCGCTGGGGCTCTACGGCATGGTCCTCGGGGTCATCTCGTACGGCGCCGGCCTGGTAGCCAACGGCAGCCTGGCGCCCGAGGCGATTGTCACCTTCATGCTGCAGGCCTCGCGGATGCAGTCGGCCTTTGCCTCGCTTTCTATCCTCTCGGGCCAGGCTGTCAAGGGCATCGACGCAGCGTCACGGATCGACGCGGTCTTGAGCGCCACACCGGCGATTCCGCTGGCGGCCCCGCACCTGGCGCAGCCGGACATTGTCGGCAACGTCTCGTTCCAGCACGTTTCATTCCGCTACCCATCGCGGCCGCAGCGCAAGGTTTTGCGCGATGTCTCGTTTGATGTCCCTCGCGGCTCAGTCGTGGCTCTTGTCGGGCCATCGGGCTCGGGTAAGACCACACTGGCGTGGCTGCTCATGCGCCTGTATGATCCCGAGGCCGGCCAGGTCGTAGTCGACGGCGTCCCGCTCACTCATCTTGATCCGGCAACGCTGCGGAGTTCAATGGCCATTGTCTCGCAGGAGCCGGACCTCTTTGCCGGCTCGATCGCGTTCAACATCGCTTTTGGCCGTCCGGACGCGAGCCGAGCCGAGATCGCCGCCGCCGCCCGCGTCGCCGCCGCCGCCGACTTTATCGAGGCCTTTCCCGACGGCTACGACACGCTTGTTGGCGAGCGCGGCGTTCAGCTCTCCGGCGGCCAGAAGCAGCGGATCGCCATTGCGCGCGCGCTCCTCCGCGACCCGGCCATTCTCATCCTCGACGAGGCCACCTCGGCGCTCGACGCCGAGTCCGAGGCTGCCGTCCAGGGCGCGCTCGAGATCCTCATGCGGGACCGGACCACCATCGTCATCGCCCATCGGCTCTCCACCATCAAGAATGCCGACAATATCGTGGTCATTGCCGACGGTGAGCTTGTGGCCCAAGGCAGTCACACGGAGCTCCTCGCCGACCCCGACTCGCTCTACGCTGCTCTCGTGGCGGCGCAGCTGCACTGAAGCTAGCTATGTTTACATCGTCTGGGCCGTCATCGCCTCTGAGAGCCACGCACCCCACTGAATGACCGGAATGTTCTCGCGCTTGACGCGATCGTACAGCGCGGACGTGGAGATGCCGTTGACGGCGACGCCAGCCATGGAAAAGTTGAGCTTGAGGGCAAGGGCGGTGGAGAAGAACATCTGCTCTTGCAGGGCAGAGGCCTCGGACTCTTGATCTGCGGCGTAAGCATCAAACGCGGCCCTGGCCTCATCGAGCTGGGAGCGGAGGACCTCGTTCTCGCTCTCCTTCCGCTTGACATCAGCGAGCAGGCCGTTGGCCATGGTCCGCACCTTCTCCATCCGACTCTCCAGTGCCGAGTTGGCATCCTGCAGCCTGGCGACCTCCTTAACCAGCTCTGCAGCCTTGGTCTTGTACTTGGCCGCGGATGCAGGCGATCCGGTGAGCAGCTTCCGCTGCGCATGCTCCAGATCGGCCTTGAGCTTGAGCGCCAGCGACTTGTACTTTGCCTTGGCTGCCTTGGCCTCCTCCAGCGCCCTGGCTGACTGCGCCAGCTCGGCCGCCTGACTCTCGGCTGCTGCCTCTACGCCCTGCAGCCGTTCGGTTTCGGCCTGCAGCTCACCGACCCGGGTCGAGAGCGCCGCAATCATGGCCTCCGAGTCCACTGTGGGCTCGGCCGCCTCCGAGCTGGTGGTGACCGTTGGCGAGGTGAGCGAGTTGCCGGCCAACGGCTCGGTGAGCATGGACATAAACCTGCTCATCGGCGACTGGTACGACTTTGGCGGCGGGGTAGCCAGACCCGTACCGCCAAGCTTGGCCTGGTTTGGTGTCAATGCCTTGTTCATGGGTGCCATGTTCTCGTCGCTCACGCTGTGTCGCGGTGGCGTTGCCGTTGCAAACATTTGAATGCGATTTGTCTCTGACAGAGTCGAGTGCTCGGCGACGGAGCCATGGGCAACCACCCATTACCGAAAGCCCGAGACTCAGCAGCGGCTGCAGTATGCTGTGGCCTTGCCAAGGACGCAGAATAGCTCCGACCTGACCCCACCCATAGTCATCCCCACCCATTCCCATCAACCATAGTCATCCCCATCCATAGTCATCAACCATCCCCATCCATAGTCATCCCCACCCATTCCCATCAACCATCCCCACCCATAGTCATCCCCACCCATTCCCATCAACCATAGTCATCCCCATCCATAGTCATCCCCACCCATTCCCATCAACCATCCCCATCCATAGTCATCCCCACCCATTCCCATCAACCATCCCCACCCATAGTCATCCCCACCCATTCCCATCGATTCCCACCATAGCCCCATCACCTCACCCCCCGCCCCCACCACCCCCCCACCCCCCACTCCCCACCAGCCCATATGAAGCGCGGCCGCCCGTCCACGACGACGTCGACAACACTTGCGCTTGCCCCTGTGAGCAAGCGGAGCAAGGGCTTGTCGTCCGGAGAGGGCTCGACAGCACTGGCGACGACGGTGGAGCGGACGTCGTCGCTGGCGGCTGCCAACCTGGTCCTCTCGGGCCATGACGACGAGGTCACCTGCGTGGCCTTTGCCGGCAACGGACGGACACTGTACTCGGGATCAAAGGACCGCTCGGTCATTGTCTGGCCTGTCTACTCGGACACCATCTGCTCCATCGGTCATCTCCGTGGCCACTCGTCGGCCGTCACGGGCCTCGCCTGCCCCTCCTCTACTGCTGCCGCTGGCTTTGATCTGGCTACCTGCTCTGCAGATGGCTCGCTGCGGACGTGGGATGTGGCGAGTGAGACGTGCGAGGTCATTGCTCGTCTTGACGACATTGTTAACGATGTGGCGGTTCTGGACAACTCCTCGCTCCTGGCCGTCGTCACCGACGGCGGCGTGCTCACTGTCCGCGATGCACGCTCGCGCGCTGCCGTCTTCTCAGTCTCGCTCTCATCGCCGCTGACTGCCACGGCGCTTGCCAACGAGGCTGATGGCCCCGCCGTGTACGCTGCCGGCATCGACGGCGTCGTCCGCAAGTACTCGCTGGCGGCGACCTCCGACGCCGCGCCTGTGCCGCTGCTGGAGCTTGCGCCGCGCGTCCGCGCTCCGCCGCCGCTCTCGGCCTTGGCTCTAGCACCCTCGGGTGACGCCCTCCTCACCCGCGACCTCGACGGCCTTGTCCGCGTCTGGGACATCCGGCCCTTTGCCCCGCCCATCCGCGAGCTGCGCGGCTTCACCGGCCCTCACGGGCCCGAGGCCAACCCCGAGATGCGACCGCTCCCGCTCGCCCTCGCGCCCAACGCCTGGCTCGACGCCGCCACCCGCGCCACCCACGCCACCCTTGCTCTCGGCGGCTCGCTCCACGGCTCGCTCTACGCCTGGCACTCGGGCTCTGGCGAGCCTATTTACGAGCTTCCTGGCCACACTGGCCCGGTCCTCTCCATCGCCTGCTCCCCCCTGAGCCCATCATCGCCACTGGCGCTGCCGACAACACCATTGTCCTCGGCGAGATCGACGCCTCTGTCTTGTAACACCCCCTCCCCC